CAACGTGTTTGTGGGTAGTGGTGGCTTAATGGTTATGGAAATGCACTTGTAACTGAAAGATCGCAGGTTTGAATCCCCAACCAGCAAGGCACTGTTGAGGTGCTGCCCCCAGGCGATGAACTAACTGCCCCCTCCCATGTCACACAGGGGTTAAATCCATAGGACACATTTCATTGGGATTTGTCAACAATGACCACTGATTACTAAATTCTTAAAATAATGTGTAGTGCTGAATATTCTCTTGTCAGTTCAGTCAGACTCTCCATACTGCATGTGTAGAAACTTTGTCACTATCTTGGTGCTTCAACCAACTGCTGTGTCTTCCAGTATTTCCTCTCTCCAGACGTCATATGCCATTTTTTCACCATGTTCCATCAATTGGGTAAAGATACTGATTCCACAAATCCTGGCCCTCCTCCAGCTTTCATTCAAGGCACTGTTATACACAAGTCAATGAGATGCTTTTCTGTTTTTCAGTGCATAATACATTTGCACTTTAGGTTGTCCTAACTTGCCCCGTAAACAAGTCCGTTGGCTGCACAGTTGCTCTGGAAACCACCTGCTTCTCTGAGAGCTGAGACTCTGCATCCCTCTTCATTGTGCTATCGGTACATCAAAATAAAAGGCAAAGGAAATGAAAGTACTATATTCATGTTCGAACATTTTCCATTTGCTGCTAGACAAACAACAGAAATTACCCCTTAACGAAATCTGTAATCATTCTGCTTATCTTTCCTTATTGTGAAAAAAATCAACGTATGGCACTATGAAATTTAACAAAAGGTGATAAGACATTCATGGTCACTTTGTATGAGACATCTTAAAATTTTAGTTTACATTAAAAAATATACAGAAATCTATAACAGTATGTGTTACTGCAGAACGACAAAAGGTACAAAAGCATGACATAGCTATAGAACATGCCACGCCAATTGTACCCTGAAACCCAGACAAATTTTGAAATGTGTGATCACTCAGCCATGTTATCAAACATTCTTTGCCACCGTGTCACTGATTGTAGATTGCTGGGGGATAGATGTAGTTTCTGTTCAATGCTGGATGGTAACGAGGAAGAAGCCGGTGACATTAATTTTGTTTGTTGTTGCACTTCATAAAATGCATAAACTTAATTAAATAAAAACCTAAGGTCCCTAATTGCACTAGGGGTGGGATGCTGCTGGTTTCTCAGTTGTGTGTCTCTCTGTATAAAAATGTCTGCTAAAATAAATGAATGTGATATAACGTATTCTACATTCAATGTTTGACATTTTTGCATATTTCAGTCTATTATTATTTATATCCTGTTGTCTTATTCCCTTTGCTAGTATCACTTGAAATAGTAAACAAAATGTTTTGCTTGCGTGGCAATAAATTCAGTTATATGCTCTTCAGTTATTTGTTTAATGCGCCGGGTCTTTATTTTATTATGATATTTTGCTAATTATCATTGTAGCAATTGATCCCCCTGAAGAGTTTTACGTGGGTGAAAAGGCAAAATGTTGCAGAGAAACACAACCCAAAGCACAAGGCAGAAATAGACACTGAAATGTTAAAAGTGGTTCTTTCACTCTGGATGTGAAACTGACTCTGGTTGAGAAGGCCAATAGAACCAGGTGACACCTTATTTTGGGGAATAGGGCCCTTTCATTGGCTAGAGGGTGCTGATTAGGGACGAGACTGAAAGCTCACAATTTCTGTAAAAGGTGGAAATAAATGTACATAAGGGATAAGAAAATAAACATACATAAAAGTAACACAGGAAAGTGATGCTTATCATCAGAAAAGAAAAGCGAAACAAAAAGGAAACAAAAAAAGAAGCCATTTCAGCAGGTGAGAAAACAAAATGGAAAGGATAAAACAGACATGTACACACAGAAGATACAAACCGTTTTGGAAGCTAGAAGCATGTCGAAATAATCAACCATTAACCTAGTCCAGCGGCTTGGGCCTATTGCATGCAGCATAAGACACGAGGCAGGCATGCAGTGAACCTAAGTTCATTTATTTAATTCAAAATAAAGCAATAAATAACTTTCTGTATTTCATTTGTTGCACCGTGCAAAACTGGCAGCTCCTGCAGACTCTTCACACACAAAAAAAAATAAAATTTGCACGATTTACACTGTTAACCTTTGAGGCAGAAGGCAATAGTGTGACCTGCTGAGCCCCCTTTCAAATGCAACACCATGTGACTAAAACCCATAGAGGAGCTGCCATGACATTCGAAAAGGGGGGGGGGGCACTCTGCTTTAATGCTACTCGTCCTCCAGTGAAACAAGAATTTAGCAACTTAAATAAGTGCTGAAACATTTAGCAGCAGAATAAGAAAATTCACAACTTCTATAAAAAGATTAAGCACTAAACATTAACTTGCTATGATTATTTATACAGTGCGTCGCATTGGCAGTTGCTCCTGACTGAAACTGGATGCTTTAGTGCAGAGAATCATTCACTGTAAACATTCTCTTACTACTAGACAAAGGCAGATTAATTTACTTGGGGACTCTGAGACGATTGACTTTATTGGAGCCGAAAGAGAAGGGAGAGAGAATTAATAACAATGTCATAAATTTTGCCTTAGGCTGTAGCCTAGGCTATACCATTTATTAATTCACCCCTGCTATTAAAATTAGGGGGGGAAAAAAGCTGCTTATTCTCACTCACAACAATGGCAGTGTAATGTAACAGGAAATGAAATCAGTGGCTACAGGAGAGAAGAGAGAAGAAATACCCACATATCAGAAGAGAAATCATTTGAGGTTGGGTTTCAGTTATCTCCCGCGCTACTATGGTCAGTGACTATAAGTATGCAGATACATGGAGGCTGGTTTTGCTGTTAAAGATTAAGATTAATATCTGGGTGAATTTGGGAGATTTTGAGATTCTGAGGCGTACTGTCTTCCAGGTTTGCTTTAGCAAGAGGTTTGTTGCTTGTTCACTGTTTTTTTTTTAAAGGTTTTCTGCACAATGTAACTATATTGTGTTTCTTAAGTGAGGATTTTGACACAATATTGCAAGTCTTGTTTCAGATTGTGATTTTCAAAGACAGATTGAGGCCCATTTTATATTTGATTTTTTAATAGGGCCTCTTGGTTTCAGTTGCCCTTCAGCTGAAAAGTGTCTGCAAGACTTCCTGAGAGTAATAAAAATGTAACAAAAAAAGAACTATGGTAGTTATACAGATATAGGGTCTCTCTGAACCTGAAAGCGGAAGAACTGGGACTTTAGTGAGTGTATTGCTTAGTGTAAGAGGTGCAGCAGAATGGGCATATATTAAATACTGACTGAATCTTCTACGGGAGAGGGAACACATTAACTGCGTGTAGGAAGGTGTTATTTTATTGTGTTTTCATGATACTGTACATATGATAGCACAATCCCAAGTGTGAACCAATCAGCATAGGAGAATGTCATTTTTGGATGAGACATTCTGTGTTATTCACTTCATTTGTGGAAGTCAATTAATTGTCACGCTTAGTGTGGACTTATTTCTGAAAAGGACAAAATTTGTTTGTTAATAGTATAATTAGTATGTTTTGATGTATATTTTTCTTTGTCACTGACAAGCATTAGTATTTGAAAATCTATTTATGCAACAGCCTTCATACTTGATTGTAATGAAATAAATGTGCAGACTGAGAATAGCTGGTTTTATTTGAATGTTGCAAAATATGCAGTTCCAAAGCCATTTGTTTACTGAAACACAAAAACCAGAGTTCTTAAGGTGGAGCACAAACCCATATCCCTAAAAATGTCAAGTCCTGTATGCTGTGTCCTCCTTAAACCTGAGAAATATTTGGCAACCGCAGCAGTCTGGTTTTACCTCAGAACAACAATCCAAATGTAGCTTCTAAACAATGGATTTAAGAATTCAAATCAGGAGCACTGTCTTGCTCATAAAATATAGCTGAACCACAGAACATTCCTGTTAAGGAACATCTTTGTGTATATGGGTAGTAGTTCTACATCGACACATATTTCATAAAATGTTTTTGACTGTATTCCAGACTGTAGAAGGGCAGATGTGTTCTTTAAGCACCAGTGTGCTGCACAATTTACTTAGAACAAGTAAACAAAAGTAAACTACAATCATATTACTTTATATTGAGAATTGTGCAGCGTTTTCTCATTTTTAAGGTTATTTCAAAGCTGTCATTGTGGTATATTTTTATGGGCTATCCTGCCCCCTGCTGTGCAGTTACGTACCTAGCCACCTGGTGAGTAACTGCTGCCGTTTGTGTACTATGGGAAACAAATGTTTATACAATGTTATAGTACATCTGTGAAATTACACATCTGTCAGGAGTAAAACTAAGAGAAGTGTCATGTGTCGTCCAGTTATTTTCTCTTACACAGACCATAGAATTCTTATAAATACCACTTCAAAACATTACATAGCAGATATTGCACAGATAATATTTTCACAGTCTTGGCCTAAGCATTTTGGTCACCAGTTTCCAGAAGGCGCCAGGCGTAATGCGTTTGTTTAAGAATGTCATGTTTGTTTTGTGGGCCATGAACTGACAGCACCGAGCTAAATTTTTATGTCTGTGTACAGTGTAACTATCAATTTGAGCATTTCCATATGCACATTGGTTGTGCACTTATCCTGTGTAAAGATTACTGATAAACTGGTCCCTTACTGCTGTCTAAACATTTTTTTTTTATAAAGGGTTAGACTTTGTCCATAGTTATGCAGCAGTCATCATCAGATGTTGCATAAACTAATCGGAAATATGGCTGCATAAATGTGTTTCAAAAGCCAAGTGACCCTCAGCCGACTTACTTGGACGGTTGTGGTTCACACAGGAGTTTGTAAACAGTGTCCAGTGATACATTCTAGTAACTGCAGGCCACATACCTGACTTGGAGCTTGGATGTGAATGAAAAATGCACATTCAGAAATGGCAATTTTATTTACAAATGTTTAGGTCATGTTTAATTATATTATAATTACATTACTCAATAACACAGGAAAAAAAAACATTTAAAAAGTAATATGAATGCCAGTTAAATGCACCATATTATTTATTGTTTTCTTTCACCAACCCAAAGAAGGCACTTTTTAGTTTTATTTATATAGCAAAAATAGATAACAAAAATAAGAGACCCTGGGCAGATAAAAATATATAACTACATGTTTTAACACCTCAATAACCAGCATTGCTACTCTGCAATATGGTGCCCAGACTGCTTTCACATAAGTTATTATTCATACATTGTTTCAGAGAAAATCTAGATACAATCCCGGTATGCCTTAGACCATAAGTGTATCATCCTTTGATATAAAAACAGCACCCTTTTAATCCAAAGTAAAAGAAGCTCTGTAACTTTCATAAAAATCATGTAAGCATCATAGCTTGAAGAATGATAAACCATATATTAATTTACTTATTGTTCACTACACCTGTGCTTAAAGTCATATAAATGTCTTTTTGTAGTTTCTGTCCAAGTAAAGGAAGGAAAATACAGTGTTGAAGAACAATACAGCTTTTGTTTGATGAGTGAACGGGTGATTTTTGTTTTATGTTTACCAATAAAAATGATTAAACTCATATTTTGCATGTAGTCCAGATAGAATATATGAAAACAGATTTATTCAAATGTAGGACTGAAAAAGATATACCCACTTAGCTACGATGTGTTTGAAGTTTCACTGCTCTTAAATCTAACAGAAGTTACCAGTCGGAATATGATTATTTATAGTCACACCACCTTATCTTGTATGCAGTGATCTGAGGTTTAAATAAATTACTTGCTATCAATAATAAACTGGAGCTGGTTATATCTGTAATGTAATTCTACAGGCCTGATCCCCAAAACACCAAAATTCTCACAGAAGACGCATTTCAGAATTCTGCTGGATTAAAGTATTCAGTTAAAGCCTTACACCTACCTGTTGGGTATATGTACAGTACATTGACAATATAAATGAATTCAAATAATGTGTGTGTGTGTGTGTGTGTGTGTGTGTGTGTGTGTGCGCGTGTGTCTGTGTGTTAGGAAGGCTAGTTCTCATTCTTTATTTGATTATAGCAGGAATTACAATAGAGACGTTTGTTTCTTATTCTGACTTCAGTTCCGATCTCCGATCCACCGAGGTCAGTTCTGCATTGAATGCACTGCAAGAGGAAGGAAGGAGATGGCAAATGGGCGGGCGTGTGCACTCTCACACACATGGATCTTATAACACTGTGAGAGCCAAGCTACTGCATCAGCCATGAGGAACATAAATACTGTCAGAGCTTGGAAAACAGTCACATCGAGAGCTACATGACACTGCAGACCGGAAGGAAGCTTGGTCTTGATGTTTTATACACAAAGGTGCATTCAGTCTACTGGATAGGAAGGGTAATGACTGACGCTGTTTCCCAGGCAGAAACGGTACAAACGGTCCCAGGTTACGACCGAGATTGGTTCACTAGGTCTGTCTTTAAGTCAAATTTGTAGGTATGTTGGAAAAACACAATACACATTATTATTACTACTATTAATAATAATTAACACTGTGTAAATATTAATATTATTGGTTACTGACATGATGGATAAATACAGGCAGTCGCCAGGTTAATAATAATAACAATAATAATACAGTAATAATAGTAACTACATACGGTATTGTACTGTACCTCGAGCTCACAAACCGCTGAAGCTGTGTAATGTTTTCATGAGCGTCACAAAGCAGTGTGTGTACGTTCGTTATTACGGACCACTCAATTTAAGTGAAAATTTGAATATAATAGCCTTCATGGCAGTTTGTCAGTATGAGTTAAATCTGTAAGATGTTCTTTATCCATCATGTCAGTATCCAATAATAATAATAATATTTACACAGTGTTAATTAAATGAAGTGACGTTCTTTCTTAATGTAAAGTCAGTGTTTCCCTTTCAACAAAGCAGCCAGAAACCTTTTTACGACAGAAAGCTGTAGTTTTCTGATTAAGGTGATAATGTTTCTTCTGGCATCGTCGACACGATCAGGCTTAACCTTAGATGATCTTTTTTCATTATTCTCGTATGAATTCTGCCCAGTAGCAAGGAGTGGTCCCATTATGGTGCTTTGTCTCTTACCTTAAAACAACTCAAATGGTAACAGAGCCCCAGGGACTCGATGATCATGGCTGCTCCTCTGCCCAGCGGGTTCTCACAAGACGTGCAGGTTTTCCTCCCGCTGACTAACCTAGATTACAAAATGCATGTGGACTGCGCTGAAACGCGATGATGCAGCTCACGTCATATAAGGTAATGAACACAGCTGATCATGTCTGTGAGTAAGACTGTGAGTAAGATAAAGACGGGGCAGTACCTGCTCAGCGGGGCGCGAGATTCAGGGGTGGAATCATCACTGCAGCCAGCAGCTGGCGTGAGAGTGCCGGAGGAGGAATCTCTCGGCAAGCCAGTGGAGTAAGCGGGGAGTGTGTATCCTCGTTGTAAGGGTGCTGATTGTAGGTTGCTATATATGGGGGTGGATACAGTTAATCCCAATGACGGTTTCCATGATAAGGGGGCATCAAAGCTATCCACAGATTCACCTCTACATGCGTACATATTGATCCCTATTATTAGGTTAATAATCTCCCTCATAGCACTGATGACTAAGTTAGACACAAAGGCTATGATCCCCCATTCAGGTAAGAGGGTGATTATAGTGCTCAGAGGTCACAAGGGAGCAGATGCTGCACTGACCTCCTGACGGGTTCAGCCAGGATCACTGGCTCTTTCTGCACAGAGGCATTCTGCTGACGGATCCAGCTGTTGTCCGTGTTGAGTTGAGTCGTCTTCCTCATCTGCTGCAGGATCTGCTGGCGCTCGAGGTCACCTTTAGACAGGGAATCCCTGCTCTTCTGGGAGCTCCTGCTCCACACGGCCTCGCTCGAGGCGCCGCTGACTGTCAGGAAGAAGCGGAGAAGCGGGACTTTCAGCTAAAAGGCAGTAACCCTGACAACGGTGATCGAACAAACGATTGACTTTTCTGGCAAGAGGGAAAACGATCATGAAATCAAAATATAAGATTCTATTTTGGTACTCGTTCATTTTATGTAACTTATTGGTGCTTATTTCAAGTTAATTCAATTCTTTTTGGAATAGAATATATTGTTTTCATTGGTATTTGTGATCAGACCATTGTTCTGAATGGATGATTTTGAAAGGATATTGAGCATATCGAATTGATCATAATCAATTTTGATTCGTTTGACTGATCAGGTAGGACATTCTCTTAACTGACTGGGGCAACCCAAGCCCACCTCTCGCTTGGTCCCTGTATCTCATTGCAATGAGAGCATTTCGTCTCTTGGTCTCCAGTTCGGATGCTGAGGACAGGAATCTGTTGCCAGATTTTCTCACCATATTGTCCCTGGTGTAAAACCCTGGGAGTCACGGTGCAAAGATTCTCTGACATGCTCACTTGGTATTTGGTACATAACACAGTAAAACCTTTGCCTGAAAATGCATCTAGCTGAAGGGAATGAGAAGATTAAAAATTAATTTCGCTAAAGTTCCTTAACTGGATCTGCCTGTCCCAGATATATTTTAATAAGTGACACAAGAAAATAGGAGCTTAAGGAGAATTTTAAAAAGTCAGCTAACCTCTTCTGTCTGGTTTGTCTATTTCATCAAGCTCTGGAGTAGATTTAGACTTTTCCCTGCAAAAGAAAAAAATAACTTATTTTACTAATTAGCAAGTAAAATAAAGTGCAAATGGTGAGCAAGAGCATTAAGACTCTGCAGTCTTAAAAAGGTGGGATGCACAATCCCATTTTAGACGCCCAGAAGAGGCATCACTCTCTTTCTGTGTGAGGTATAACTGGATTGGTTTGAATGGAGAAACTGTGATACTCAAAAATGCCAAATAGTGGACCTACAGCATCATACTCACCTGAGAGAGTAATAGTTCTGAGGGGATCTGCTGGAAAACTCACTGAACCTGCAATGGAGAGTGCAAGACAAGGACAATTAAAACCATATTTTTTTTTACGTTTTGACAAGCTAGACAAATATCTCGTCTTTAATGGGTACAGGGGGGACAAACTCAGCTTTTCATTGTGGACATGGAAAATATTGAAGTAATAGTTTAAACAGTAGTTTAAATAATGTGTAATAACAGTTTAAACAGTATGGAATTGAGGGGGGGGGGGTCCCTTCAAGAGGCGGAGCGGCCGGCCCAGTTTAGTGCTGCAGCTGGATGGCTTTGATTTCATAGATGGGGCCAGTGGAAATGACTGGCTTCTTCTTACTGGTTTTGTTCCTGGAACCTCTGCTGTTCCTCCTCCTCCCGCTGCCTCTGCCTCTTTAGAAGTTCCTCCTGTCTCCTTTTTCGTTCAGCCTCCAGCCTCAGTTCCTCCTCCTGCTGCCTCTGCCTCCTTAGAGCTTCCTCTTCCTTCCTTTTTCGTTCAGCCTCCAGCCTCAGTTCCTCCTCCTGCTGCCTCTGCCTCCTTAGAGCTTCCTCTTCCCTCCTTTTTCGTTCAGCCTCCTGTCGCTGTTCTTCCTCCTCCTGCTGTCTCTGCCTCCTTAGAGCTTCCTCTTCCCTCCTTTTTCGCTCAGCCTCCTGCCTCTGTTTCTCCTCCCGCTGCCTCTTCTGCCTCTCAGCCTTCTGCACTTCCTCGTCTGACTGACGGTTCTCCTGTTAATGATGGAGTGAAGGGAGATTGTACCGTGAAACTCCTCATATCAGCTCTTCTCAATCAATCCCTTGTTTCGTAAACAGGGTACGCCAATACCCATGATGCAATCATTTACACTACATATCATTTATTTACATATTGGATTCTTCTGTGCTACAGAACTTTCGTTTTTGCATGAACAAGAAAAAAAGAATGTAATTGCTATTGTATTTTTATAATTTTTTAGCATACACCACCTTTTTTTTGGGGGGGGTGTTTGAATTCTACGTGTGTGCAGTTTGCATGTTCTACCCATGTCATGCAGCTTTCCAAAGACATGCCGTTAATCGGAGTCTCTGAAATGGCCGTAGTGCGTGACTGCATGCGTGAGTGTGTACAGTATGTGTTTGTAGTGCGTGACTGCATGCGTGAGTGTGTACAGTATGTGTTTGTAGTGCGTGACTGCATGCGTGAGTG